GAAGGGAGCCGCTCCTCAAGGGGAGGGACGCGATGGACCGTGGCTGCTTCTGTGCTTGGCTGCGGGTGCATAGGCAGAGCATCGACTGACTGCATTTTATTAGAAACGAAACGTGCACAACTTTCTGGCCCTAGTGAATTAGGAAGACTTAGCAGTGGAAATCCATGGTGTGGATGCATCCAGTTAATTTGATTTCTTGTGAAGTGAATTTCCCGTGATGAAGTGCCTTTGGGTAGAAGAGGCTGTTCTTGAGTAAGATCAGCTGGCCCAGGCATCCGATTCTCCGAAGAGCCCAGTCCCACCTCCCTTGAACAGCCAGGTTTTTCCTCCCTGAACTCCGCATTGTGCCTCGCGGGAGCCCATGTCTGATGGTGAGCAGAGCTGGCGCCGTTCGGGCTGCACTCCAAGCTCTGCCACACGTGAAGGTGCTACCATTTGGAAAGTTGTGGAGCGAAGAGCTCCTGAATCTAGTTGATCTCAAACCTCTGGGATGCACCCCCTGTGACCCGATGAAGTTTTGCTTGGTGCTTTCTCGGGGTAATATAATGTCACGGGACTAGCCCCCCCCCAAAAGGGTGAGAGATTTTGAACACGCGAAATCCTTTCCAGTCAGAGTTGCTCGGAGGTTTCTAAAACTTTCATTTTGTTTTGGAAAGGAGGGGTAGTTATTTCAGGGAGATTGTGGTCTAGTGGTTAGACCTTGTGACTGGGAGCCTCAGCCAGAGGGCTCAGATTCTTTTCCAAGCTCTTCCCCCAAAATTTGAGTGTGCCAGTGACGATTCCGTCCAAAATGTTGCTTTCAGGCCTCGGAACACACTTTCCTACGTAACTGTGTTTGGCTGACCTGGACGGAAGGCCCAGCGAGAGACGCATCCTCTCTGACCTGACTCTAGGCCTGTACACACCTGTGCCCAAGCCAGAGATGGCCAGCGTCAACCCACAGGCTCTCACTGCTTGGCACCTGTTTTTGTATGGCCTGTGAGTGAAGAATGACTTTTATTACTTATAAGTGGTTGAAGAAATGAAGAGAAGAATAATATTTCCTGACACAGGAAAATTCTATGACATTCAGATTTCAGTGTCCTTAAGTAAGGTTTTAGTGGAACCTAGCCATAATACAGCACACACGTGCCTTGCCCAGGGCTGCTTTCTGGTTAAACAGCTGTGTTGAGTACTCATGACAGCGGCCAGAGGCCGGTAAGGCACCTACTATCTGAGAAAGTTTGCCAGCCCTGCCCTGAACAAATAGAGGTGGGCAATCTCCCCCTGCCTGTCCGGGAAGCGCTAGGCGGCCTCGCCTGGAGTTGAAGCGAGGGAGTGAAGGTTCCCGGCAGTTTTGTCATCATCACCGCGGTACAGATTGTCACTGTGTTCCTGCTTGTTCAGAGCTTTACACAGAGCCCTCGGTATGGGCCATAAGGCGGCTGGTCATGGGATGGCTCATTCAGGGGCTGCTGGGACCTGGTGGGAGCAGGCTCTGCCTGGCCCGCCCTAGTGGGTGCTGCTAAAGCTGCTTCCCAAGGCACTTTCAGATTTGGAAGATCTTCCTCACTTCTCATCACCCTTTGCCGTCCCCTTTCATTGGGGCCAGGTGGAAGAGGAGGAGAAATTAGAGATGCCTGCTTTTTCCCGGTTGTTGACAATTTAACAGGCTTTTCAGCTGCTTTGATTCCTTTCAGCCCCTTGGTGTTGTATATATTTCAAGATTTTGCCCACAGGCCCACAGCTTAACTTAAGCTCTCTAAGACATATCATAAAATATGATTTGGAGGAAACCCTAATGGGCCATGATCAGAACATTATTATTAAACAAAGGATGAAATGCTTAAGCCAAGATGGCCTTATTATTATTATTTTTTACTAAATGAAAGCCGAGCAGACTCCATTTCAACAGTTTTCGATGTAGGAATTCCCACAGCCCCATTTGAGTGCCGTTTGTTGAAAAGCTTAATGTTTTTGTAGGCAATTCATAATTTCCACGTTGAGCAGCCTAAGAGGAAGAGAGCAGGAGTCCAGTGTTGTTTTTATAATGAGATGGTGGGAACTTCCCCCGCCCCTTTCCCAAAAGCATATAAAACGAGTTGAGCTGTTAGGAAAATGTGGCACAGTGTTCCAGCACTTTTGTAAATCTAAGATGCCTCCTTCATCAGGTCTTCCTGTAGGACCCTACAGAATAAAATTTCCTGCTGCTTAATGTCTCCAGGAAGGAAAAGATTTTCCTCTAGGCTGTAATAGTACCTAATTTCCTTTTTCTTCCCTTTATTTATTTATTTCCCCTATTAATAAGGACCAATTGTAGAAAGTGAAGGAACCTGGGAAACCCATCATTTTTGGAGGACAGTAATAATTTCCTTTAAAGAATCCTGACATACCACTTCTCAAAAAGGAACTTTGCCAGTCTGAGTGCCAATTAAGAGTCAAGGAGTGGGCATGGATTTGTGGGTGCCCAGCTGATCTATGGCATCAGGTTGCACTGGGAAAGAAAGTTTGGGTCTGTCATTGTGAAGTCCCTGCAAGTCAGCAGGACCCGGGCTGTCTTCCTCTGCCATCTGGATTCGGTTAGCTCTCTCTGGGCAGCAGGGCCGAGCCTCATTTCCTCCAACCAGTAATGTTATATAGGCAGTGATCCTGGGCTGCCCTAACATAATTGAAAATTATGTGTATTGTAGGCTCTGAGTGCTGAAATGTAGGCCGTAAAAATATGTGGTGCAGGTAGCCTATGGAGATTGGATGTGCCATACAATGAAGCTTTTATGTAAAGTAAGAATTAGAAGTTTCCATGTTAATGTGTTATTGTGTTACGGGTATGACAGTTCTTGGGTGGGGTCCCCAGGGCAGGTCTGTCAATTTAAACCAAGCCTAACTTTCTTAATTCTCTGGAGCTGAGATTAGGATACAATCAGATCAGTTTTGCAGGTGGCCAAAGATGAAAACTTGTCCATCCATCTGACCCTCCTTATGGAGAGTAGCAGGAGGTGTAGGGTGTCTGTTCCTCTTGGCACTTTCGCTCCTGGGTGTTTGTGAGTTGGTGGTGAATGTTGGCTGGTGGCCATTTTGGTTGGCCTCAAGGAAATGACTCTATTGAGTGGTTTTGACCAGTGTAGCCTGTATATTTATGTGGCAGTTGAGAATGGGAAGAAATTGGGGTGAGACAAGGCAGGACAGATTCCCAGAGCTCTCTGGCTTAGTTACAAGGCTGAAGGAGACGCTGGAAACATTTTATTCAGTGGTTCTCAACTTAGGGTGAACTGGTTTTTGGAAATGGTTTGATTGTAAGGGTGACAGCAAGGTTCCTGCTGGAATTCACTGTCTTAAGACCCCCAAATCCTGGAAGTCCATTGTTTGAAGCAGACCCTCACTCAAGCCCTGTCACAGATAGGATGGATCCCTTCATTTTATAAATGAAAGCTAGAGATGTATAGAAAGAAAGAGATTTGGTATGAAGACTTGTGTTGAGTTGCCCACAGATCCAGAACTAGTAACCACACATTTCCACCACAAGAGGTTTCTCACTGAGAGCTCTGAAGTCATGGAAGAGGCATCTACCTTGTATATATAGTCAGGTTGGAAAAGTTGGCTGTGCACTTGCACAGGTGGCTCTTGGGCTAGCATCTTTCAGTGTTGGGATAATCAAGCTTGATTGAATTTGCTCAACAGCTGTTCTTCATGAAAACATGAATTGGCTTGTGAATGGTTCTGTCCTATTTCTCATGGGGTATGTGCAAACTCTTCCTTCTGACTTACCAAGATTACTCTGTGCAGCTTTACCTAGTCTCTTCTCAGGAATTTCATCTTCTTTCTTGGCATTGCATGGACGCAGCTTCCTTGTACTCTCTCTTGACTTTTCTTGTGTGCGAGTTGTTGACTGCCTCACACATGCATAAGCCTCCTGAGGGCAGAGATCTTGTGTATCTCCGTAATGCTTAGCAAGAAGGGCAGACACAAAACAAGCTTTCATTAACAAAAGTTTTTATAGAATGAATATTAAAATTAGCTGCATATTTTGCTTTGGGTCTCAGAAATGATCAGGGTTTTGCCTTATATACCTCTAAGCATTGATTGCTGCACTGATCAGTTGGCCTTTGGAATAAAGGCTGGTATTGGTGTCCTTATAAGCACTGTGTCTAAGTCTTGTTCGGTTGTCTGGAGTTTTCTTGAGTGAAACTGTTGTTACCAACAAAAGCCAAACGCCTGGAAGTTTTTTGTACTAAGTATTGCCTAGGCCACCTCACCTCAGCTTCTCTGCAAAACAAGTTCAGGTCCCTGTGGCAACCGATGGATTGCTTTCAGTAGACGTAGCTTGCTGAGGCCATGTATTTATTTCCTATCTCAGAACCAGGCAGGGACAGGCATAATTGCTGTATACTTTTATTTAATTGATGTATACTCTGGGCAGCCTGTGCATATTTAAGAGTTTCTCTGGTCTTTCGAAATGAAATGAGTGTATAAATCAAGTTATGCCCCGGGTATGCATCTGTTGCCAAGGGATAGCTCCATCTTACGAGCTTCTGGATTGGTTGCCTTATCCAAGCAGCTTCTGGCTTTAGAACAGTTGTGCTTAAGCTTTACAGTGAAGGGGGTGACGGCATTTGAGAGACGAAGGCCACCGAGAGCAGATTCGGAGTCGATGATCTCCTAGGGCATGGCTGGTTTGAGATTTGTGTTCGCTTTTTCCCTTCGGGCAGCTCTGTGTTCTTTTCCTTCCTCCCTTCTCCTCCACCCTCCCTTATTCCCCACTGAGTAAGGTAGTCAGATACTGAAACTTTTATCTAAAGCCAACCCTGTAGCTTGACTGTGAAGATAAAGCTACACTTGTGAGTAATATTAATATTCTGTACTTGGACTTTGGGCTTTAAGGAACAGCCTACTGATACTGTGTGATTTTCTTTTTGTTGTTATTTGCACGCTTTCACGTTTTTCGATGTCTGACTCATGTGTGTTATTTCCTGGCTACGTGGTTTCGTGATTCTTTGCTGAATTCGGTGTTTCTGGTTTTCCAGTATCTCCAGATGAAATGGCCGCTGCTTGACGTCCAGGCAGGGACCCTCCAGAGCAGACAAGCCCTCAAGGATGCCCGCTCACCGTCACCAGCACACATTGTCGTAAGTAACTTCCCACCCTCAGTTGCCCGTTACCTGGGCACAAACAGGAAAATGCTCTGTTGATGGTAACAGGCTCTGTCAGTTCTTCTTTACTGAATTTTAAAAAATATTCTTGAATATGGTTGCGTTTCTGAGGTACTCGTTTTACGTGATTGGATCTTAGTGATTGAAACGTACCTGGAGATTTTCTAAGTCTTCCTTCTACCCTTTTCTCCATGTATTGGGTTAAGAGTCTAGCCTTGTGGGCTACAGTTAATAGGGCAGAATCTCTATAGTTCTGGAGAAACTAGCATTAAAGCAATTTAAAACAAAATGCAATTAGGGGAAAGGAATTAGGAAAGCCCACCCCCCTATACCCCCCATTTATCTGTATATTTTTTGGAAAGTTAACATTCTATATTAGCATTAGAAAATTTGCTCTGAGCTGGTTGTCAGCCTAGAGTGGAAATGAACTTAGGCTAAAATTAAATTTACTCCATATATCTATAGATTTGAATGCATGTGGGTTTGACATGGAAGACATTTGTTTTTAATACTAAAAGACTACAACATAGCATGTGTCTGCATATATTTTTAATGTACTTTCTTAGGATTTTGTGGGCTCTGAAAGTTTATAAATTAACCTCTTGAGAAGCTAGCTCAGCCTTATTAGAATATTCTTTCATTTCTATACATTTACATCATGAGCTGGACTTCATAGTCTTGAAATAATTAATGAAAGACATTTTTATAATGAATCTGTGACAGGTAGAATTATGCAAAGCATGAAACAATTCATGTATTTTTTATTTACGTGTCACAAAATGTTACCCATTAGTCTGTTTTTGGCTCTATATTACTTGTAATTTCTAACAATTGCAAAAAAATTTTCTTAAGTAGAAAAACCTTAAGATGTATTGTGTCAAATTCCAGGCTCACTGCTTCCTTATTTGTAGCTTGCTGAAATAGAGTATATATTATTTAATGAATTATGCCTGTGCTGTGTGTGTGCCTATCACAAAATAATTTATTTCTGTGAAACCACATTTTGAGTCCAGATTTGCGAAAATGTCTTAACTTCTCATTAGTATAAATAGTTGTGGAAAGAAGGTTGACACTTGCTAGAAGCTTCCTCCTTCCTCCACCTCCACAATTAAAGGGATGTTCATAATTATATCTGTGCTTGTAAGGTCAAGATTTCAGGGCCGGAGGTGACCTTAGATTATTTTAGGCCCAAGCTGATCTCAGAAAAGGAAACTGAGGCCCAGAGATGCCTTAAGTGAATTGCCCAATGTCACACACCAAATTAGGAGCCAGAACAGTGATTGGATCCAGGACCAAGTCCTTGCTGTATATTCTCTCTCTTGCAAGAGGTTTTTTCATGTGACATTCTGTGACTGGCTCTCCTTTGCTTACTATAAATTGGTTCGTCATCAGGGTCAGTGACAGAAGTGTGGAGAGGTTGCTGGCTTAGGTCTTGGTATAGGTTTCTCGTAGAAAATTAAAAACATCTTAACCTACAGGATTTAAAAATAGCCACGACCGTTTTAGAGTCCTAGAGGGTGAAACGAGGAAGCCTATCCATTTTACTTTTCCTGCCTCCCTGGATCTCCTGGTGTGGACCCAGGCTTTGAAATTTATTTCTCTGTTTTTGGAAATGCTTGATGGAACTTTCCCATATTTTTTAGCTACAGAAAGAAGGATGTTATCTTTAAAATCTCTGGGAGATGCAGTTTCTAGGAGTGGTTCAGAATGGGCAGAGCCCCTAGTGGTTGGAGCATATAATCCAAGGTTGGGAGCAGGGGGCTGTCCATCTGGAGAAAGGGGATGACTGGCTCTCTGGTCCCCCAAACTCCATACAAAGAGTTGCCATAGCTCAAGTCCTACTTTCTCATGTGGAAAGTAACGAGCTGGAGGAGATGGTAAAACATTCTTTCCAGAGCTAGTGTGGACTTTGGCGAGGGGAACAGGGTGAGCAGTTAGGTTCCTTTTTCCTCTGAAGTTTAGTGGAAGGTACATTTACTATAGCAACCATTTTGGAGCACATACATCACCTTTGGCCGAAGAAGCCACAGCAGCTGTCATATGATCTTGTCTGCTTCCTCCTGTGCTCTTGGGGACCAGGGAACTAGGCAGTGCCTAGCGGAGAGTTGGGGAAAGGAGGGTGTGATCTGGCTGGTGGAGGAGGGAGGGAGGAGCTGAGAGAAGAGAGAAGCCTTACATTTAGGCAAAAGAAGACCGCGTTTGGGAAATGCTTAATGCTTGTGTCCGTGAATGGTGATTTTTGGTAATGGAAGTCAGTGAGCTCTATCCTTGTGTATTTCTGCAGTCTTCACCTGACACCAGGAGTGAGAAGGGGAGAGCATTCTGGGGAGGGGAAGTGAGGTAAAGGGAAGGTGGGGTAGGAGAAAAGTTAGGGGTTGCTGACCTTCTTATCCATCTTGTCACTTGTAGTTTTGGGGACTGAGGTTTCATGTACCAGGGGAGCATAGATTTATAGTTACCTTTTCACTGGACGTAGGGCAGCATGACAACCAAAAGCAGCCATCCTTCTAAAGGGAGCTTTCTGAAGTGTGGCTCATGCATCATTTGGGTCTTTGTACCATTTAACATTGTGCAAGGGTCTTGTTCATGTTCAGATTTGGTCATGGATGGCCCACTTTGCTCCAGACATTTTGCTTTTTATTCCTCACACTTGCTTTTTTATTCTGTTTAGAAAAGTGCATTTTCATATAATTGTGTCTCACCAGACATGTTTCAAAACAATCAGCAAAAGACTGCTTCCTAATTTCTCCGAAATTTGGATTTATTGTAACTTTTGGGCCAAGCTATTTCATAATTATTTCTAATGTTTCACTTTGAAAATAGGGAAGTGTTCAGGGTTTGTTAGGAATTATTAGAGGATACAGCTACCACAGACTGCTAAGGAAATGACTTTCTCCATTACCCATTCGGGGCAGAATCTTCACACGGAAATTTAAACTATTTTGTCAGGATATGTTACTCTGATTAGATTTTTTGGTGTGGTGTGTGGGTCACCACATTATAAAAATTTGACAATGTAATAAATGTACAGCTCAATTATTTATTTATGTATTCAGCAATGTGGAGATAGGAGCCAGGGCCTTGTGGGTGTGAGGCAAGTGCCCTGCCACTGAGCTGTGTGATCAGTCCTGTCCAGTAATGTTTAAGTGGAGAAACAAACTCCGTATAGTTTCACTCCTGTAGCTGATACAATATTCTGTTATGTTCTGGTGACTCCCAATCTGTGTTTAGAGGAGGGAGGAAACCTACCCAGGGATGATGTCTTCTTTGGGCAGAAAATGAGTATTTACATCAGAAACCAGCCCTTCATTCATTGATTTTTTTTTTTTAAAGACACTAGACAAAATTCCCAGAGCCTTGTCTTTCTTCAGTCCTGTTTTCTAGTTCATATATTCAGCTAATTTTTCTTACTCTGTGGCATTTTGAAACTTGTATTTTTAATCCTTCGCTCTTTTCTCCTGCTGTGAAACTAGGGCCTAGCGCTGGCTGTGCCAAGTGGCGGTGCTCCTGCACGTCCTGGCAGACCTGCTCCCTGGTGGTGAGCTGCTGGGTAGGAGCTGGTCCCTGGATACCACCCCTGAATCTCTGCTATACCAACAGTTTCATTTAACTTCCTTTGTACCTGGCAATAAAAGATTCTGGACCCAAAATGGTGGTATTTTGGTATAGTATATGTCTTACAAACCAGGAAAAGGCTTCAAAAGTTTTTACAATTTTATCTTGGGGGTTTCCTTTTGAGGTCGATGTGGAATTTTCCTTGGGGTGGATTTCTAGTGTTTCTCAGTCTTGTGTGTTTTGTTGTGTAATGAGCATCGAGGTGTGGGATGAGAAAGCAGACTGAATTCCGAGGAAGAAAGCCCTGTAGACGGTGGTGGTGTAAATTTTTTTGTTATTGTTGTTCTTGCTTAAATGCTGAGAGGAAGCAGGAAACTTAGGAAATACAGCATAATGAGTAGGAGGACTTCGGACAGGGTCTCTGCTGTCTGCACTGAGCACTTTCAAATAAGCTCAGGACACAAAGAACCTTTAGTTTTTGTTTCTAAAGAGTGTGGAGAGCCTGCTCATAATTAATTATGAAACCACCTTAAGAGCATCCTCTTTGTCATTAAATGCGTGCAATGTTTTAATGGGTTATTTGACCTGGGTTGTATGTTCCCCCCTCCCCAGTGGACATATACTGGACCTGGCAAGTGCTAGAAAGCTCTGAGTTAGAGGCTGGGGCCAGCAGACCATGGCAGCCCTTACCTGGGTGTCCTATGCCACGAAGGATACAGTGTGAGACCGAGAGACCTGGTTGTAACTGAGATCATGGACCTGGATGGCTGGCTCCCTGAGAAAATGACATTTAAGAGAGGCTGGTGAATGGTTGTTAGGTATACTTGGTAGTGAGGAATAATGTAATGTGTGGATAATAGGGTAACTGGATGACAGCAGGTATTTGTATATTTCAAAATAGCAAGTAGAAGGGATTTGGAGTGTTTCAAATACAAAGAAACGATAAACATTTGAGATGACAGACATGCCCATTATTCTAACCTGAGCCTTGCATGTTGTATACCAGTGTTGGAACGTCACACTGCACCCTATATATATGCACAATTACTGTGCCAGTAAAATTAAATATATTAAAATGGAAATTGAAGGAATTGGTCATGTGAAGCCATCAGGGAAGGGGTGCGACTGGGAGGCCATTCTAAGCAGGCAGAGGGAAAGATGTATATGAAGGTCCTAAAGGAACGAGGTGACTTGAGAGAAACAGAAAGGCAGGTGGGATGGCCCGTCCTAACCACTGGGAAGTCACGGTGTCCCTGTTTCGTGTGGGGATGGTCACCGCGGACAGATGTGGAGGAAACATCAACAGATCTTGTTGATGCTTTGAGATGTTGACATCGAGGCAGAGGGGTAGGTGGCTGGAGAATGCCACTTGCTAAATGGGGAATATTGGAGGCAGAACAGATTTGGGGTACAAGAGCTGT